AGACGAAACGTTTCATTAGAGAAGAACCCGTCCAGAGGACCTATACAATTTTTTTCTTTTTGATTTTTTACCTGGATTACTGAGATGCATCAGGACATGTATTGAATCAAACAAACTACAACAAATATTTCAGCTGGTAATGCAAAGTCTGAGGTTTTATGTTAATGGAGACATTTTGAGTTTATTCCACAAAGAGAGCCTAATGAATATAGAAACAGCATGAAAACATTTGGAGGTGGGATGATCAAAGAAAGGAGAAAAATGTGAAGTGAATATATGGAAAAAAAAACTTTCTGTTACGGAAGAAAACGATCTAATGAATAAATACATTAAAACAAGAGTGAAACAAACAAATCCAAAGTGACATTGTTCCTAAATATGTTTGCTTTAAACAATTTGTCTTTTTTCTGAATTTCTCACCGCTGACTGGAGCTCCGAAGCAGCTGGCGACTCCAACCGCTGCAGCTACGACTGACATTTCTGTGCCTGCTTTCTCCTAAAAAAAAAAAAAAAACAGGTTACATTTATGTTATAAACATTTAAGCAGGGGCAGCAACAAATATTTTGATGGGGTGGTTATGTGTGGGGTAGCAGCAAAACCAAAATCAAAAACAGAATTTCAGGAGACTTTTTTATTTTGTTGTCATTATAGGTTATTTAACAAAAACTGCAATAAGAGTACCACAGTGGAATTACCTTCTTACTGCCTTGTACAGGATTGCAGAGGTCGTTGAAGTAGACCCCTAACATCATAGAAAGATGCACAAACGGTCCCTATTTATGAGATAAACATATGTGATGAACTTGAACAGTTCAATGCATTACAAACATGTCTGCTGAGTCGTCTCTTACCACTTTGCCCATGAAAACTGTGGTGCCGGCAGCCATCGTGCAGATAACGCCCAGAAACTTTGCAAACATGTTGGTGAGAGACAAGTATTGAGGCATTTCGATACCGGCCAGCATGGTCCTCACTTCGGGTATCCCAGAGCCTGCAGCAGACATGAGACAGAATGATCCAGAGAGGATAGAAAAGCAACGAAAGGTTCAGTCTGTAAGCTGAGCTGAGCTCCATCACATCTCAGGGTCAAACACTGACACACAAACACACACACTTCCTGCAGGATCAACAGGAACCACAAACTAATAAACAGTGCATCATTTAGATCAGTGGTTCCCAAACTTTTTGTCTTCTGGCCCACAAAATATTCATGGCAAAAACTTGTGACCCCAAATATTACTGCTC